TTTTCTTCATCATCAACAATTCCTACTGAAAAACCAACTACAACTGCTATTTCATTGAACAAAAAGACAGAAACGTAAGTAAATCAAACAGCATTATATAGGATAAGATATCATTATTCTTAGAATTCCTTAATGTCTTAAAATTAAATTATTTTGATTTTCAAAAAGAAAAACGCAACAATCTTCGGATTTACCAAAAATATCATGATAGTCCAAAAAAAATCGCTGATAAAAATGATGTATGTAGATTTTTTATTTCACCAATAGTGAAATTCAAAAATCTGGCTCTATAAGGAACTAACCCTAACTATCCTCTATGTAATAAAAAACAAAAAATTTATCACTTCTATATTGAGTAACTTTGCTTGAGGGGAGACTTCCCTTAAAAATATGAATGAAATCAGGTTTTCGAAATTTCTATAATTTATATCGACTCCGTCGGAGTCTCACGTAGGGCTCTACTACAAATTTTAATACTTTTGATATGCCCTATGAAACAGAGATGTCCATCGCGGTTGAAAACTGACCGCTGCCACACCGCGACGATAAAAGAAAAAAGCTAACGTGCCGCTACTGCACCGCGGTGATAAAAACAGAAAACCTACCGCGCCGCTGCCGCGCCGCCACCAAAAATAACCGTGCCGCGATGATTGTTAGAATAATGTTGTGAATTTTACGATCTGTGACTGTTCAGGACTAGAGCTGTTGTTACCAATCGATAAGATTCGTTGAATCTCATAGTTTTGCATTTGCAAACATTGAAATTCTGTTCGAATTCATGCATTTTTGCATTGTTCTCCAAAAAAAACCTACCTCTACCGCGCCGCTGCCGCAATAGTTAGTTAAAAAAATGACCGCTGCCGCGCCGCACCGCGATGGTTATTTGAAAAAAACAACCGCCACAGCGGCAGCGGCGCGATGGACATCTCTGCTATGAAAAGATTTTAACACTGCATATGTGCATTTAATAACAATGATCTTCTCAAGTGATCCGATTTGAAATATTCTTAACATTACATATTATATTCGTAATAGAGCTCGGTATAAAACAATATTTTCTGTCTTATGTCTAACTGTAGTACACATATAAAACTATCTGTTATTTTTTTTCTTTATTTTAGTTTAAATATTCCACTTGAAGTATTAATTCAACCTGATTTACGTGATTTATATACTGATGAAGATATTCATCAATCTCTTGAACTTTATATTAATGAAATGTATCCATCACTTCGTCCATTTACATTTGATTTAGCTTATTTAATTAATGAATCTTTAACATTAAAACGTTTTATTGAAATGGGTGTTGATATTTATCGTTGGAATCAACCAAATATAAAAGCAAAATATATATTAACACTTAATTTTGAACGTGATTGTATTCAACATATTATTTTTCTTAATGAATTAGGTATTAAAAATAAATATCTAGCTCAATATCTTAGTTATAATCCATGGATATTTAAAGAAAATCTTGATGATTTATATGTACGTATAAATTATCTTAAAAGTAAAGGTTTTAATCAAGAAAATATTCATGATATACTTATACGTGCACCATATTTATTAAATTTAAGTACAAAAATAATTGATACAAAAATAAATTGGTTTATAAAAAAATTTCATTTAAATAATAATAATAATAATATAAAAGAATTTATAATACGTTCACCTAAACTTCTTACTTTACCATTACAAGATATAAGTAATACATATTTTAATATGCATTCATTATTAGGTTTTGAACATAATGAATTACAAAAAATTTTTCAACAATATCCAAAATTATTTATATATGATTATAAATTAATTGAATTAAATTTTGATTTTCTTTTTAATGAAATGAATATAAAACGACAATATTTAATTAATTATCCACCTATACTTAAACAAAGTTTTCAACAATTACGTACACGTTGTTTATATTTAAAATATATAAAACGTAATCAATTTGATCCAACAAAATCAAATTTTATTTCATTAAAAAATCTTTGTTTAAAAACAAATGATCTTTTTTGTCAATATGTTACAAAAACATCTATACAACATTATTTAAACTTTATGAAAACATTGTAAATTTTTGTTTTTGTTTTTTTGTTAACAAGAAAAAGAAAAAAAAAACAAGTCTTGGACTATAATACAATTGTTTTTATTTTAAACAAAAAAAAAAAAAAAGATTTTTACCAACAACATTTATAATTGAACTACTAATCATTGTTCTATTATGTAA